TTTAATGAAAAGGGGAAAAGAAATAAATGAAGAAAAAGAGAAGAAAGAAAAGAAGGGGTTGGACATTAAGTGATGGAATGTTGCTAAATTTTGAGGTTTTCATTTAAAATTTAGAAAAGGAAAGGAATTAGAAATTGTTTTTTTAATTTTTGTTGACAAAAATATTAAATAAGAAAATTAAAAAATATTTATTTTCGATTTTAAAATATTTTTAAAAAAATGTTACACCTACATAGGTCCCTGACCCGTTGGGGAGAATTTTCTAGGGAGCGATTGGGGTTGGAATGGATTAAAATCATCATGAGGCAAGGATGGGGAATCGGGAAACCGGAGAACGATCTAAAAAATTGGGTATTTAAGGGGGGGGGGGGTAAATATTAGAGACGGGCGCATTGTGTTTTTGTGTTTTGCGTACTTTTTTCCCAATTGTTTTTCCCAATCAACTAATAACTAAAAAACAACAATGACTATATTTAAATATAATTTTTGATTACCTAATTTAATCGTCTTAAATATTTTCTTTCTATAATACTAAATACTTTATTTATTTTTATTAAGAAAACCAATTTAAATCTTTTTCCAAATATTTGCCCGCTCATTCACATTTAATTATGTTTTTAAAAATATTTTTCGAAATTTTGGAAGGTCCTAATAGAAGAAGAAATTTAAGAGAAAAAATTGTTTTTACTCTGTTGGATATTTTGTTTTTCTTTAATTTTTGTGTGCATCTGCCTGCCTTTCACCTTAAAAATTGTTCGAGAAATAATTAAAAATAAATAAATAATTAAATATTTTAATCAATTTATTTATAAAATTAAAAGTAAATAAATATATATTTTTGATAATTTTGGGGAGATTTTTGGCGGTAAAAATATAAAAAGAGAGAGAAATTGAATGAGGCAAAAATAAAGGAAAAAGTTTATTTAAAAATATTTCCTCTTTTATTTTTACCGCCCCTCTTCTTCCTCCCTTTTCTCCAAAATTAACCAAAATTAATTTTAATTTTCAATATAAAATGATAACACAATTTTGCCTTTAATTTGACTTAAAAAAGATAAAATTTAAAAATTTTATAAACCTGAAAAGAGAGGGAAAAATAATTTAAAGAAAAAATATATTTATTTAGTATTTCCATTAATCATAGAGAATTGCTAAAGTTTTAATTTAAAATTAAAATAATTATTTTTTGAGGTAGAAATATTTATAAAAAATATTTAGCTTACTTACTTACCTAAAATATTCTTCTCTTTCATGAGAATAACCTCCTATTAATTTAATTTTTGGGGATACTCATCAGTTTCATAGAACCTAAGAAGAAAGGCCCATTGGACAATAAAAACGCCGTAGGCCATTCACCTTGTGTCAAAAACACTTTAAAATAATTTTTGATTAAAAATAAGATTACTGGGGGCAATTAAGTATTTGGAAGGGGGCAAAAAGGTGAATAAAAAATATTAAAGTGTGAAAGAAAATCGCGCAAAATATCACACTTTAAGGCTAAAAATAAATAAAATAATAACACTTAATTTGGATAAATTCAATTAAATAAAAAAATAAGGGAAAGCTAAAAATTATTTTAAAATTTAAAATAGAGAAGAGCTTTTCTTCTTTCATTATTAAAGGTGTGAATATTTGCCCTGATTTGGTTAGAAGATTAAAAAACACATTAATATATTTATTTAAAAATGTCTGAAAAAAAAACATTTCAAGTTTGAGGCAAATTTTACGCGGATTAGATTACCTAAAAATGAATTGAGACAACATAAAGTTATGTGTGCTGCGATCTTTATCTTTAAAAAATATCTTTTTTTGGGCAAAAAGGTAGGCGAAACAGTAAAAAAATATTCTGTTGTTTTTGTTTTTAAAATGTTCCTCAATTTAAATATTTTAAAAAATCTTAAAAACATCTGTTACCAGTCGCTACTTGTTTACTAAACACTTTCTGACCCACAAATCCAGAAATGAATATTTTTATAAATTAATATATTTTTTAAACAAATTATTTAAAATTATTTATTTTAAAAATATATTGAAAAAAAATACAATTTTTTCTGTTAAAATATTCGAAAACTAAGAAAAACTATTAAATAAAAATATCTGTGTACAAATAGCCAATTTCAATTTCACTCAACAAAAAAATTCAAACATTACAAACCCAATAATTAAGTCAAAACTTTTTTTTCTTCTGGAAGGCTAAAAATAAATAAAAAAGGTATGTTGTGTACAAGTTTACTACATTAACACACACCTCTTCAACTTGGCGCCTTCTTGTCAGGGCAACGAAAGAATTTTGTGGAGGAATGTCTGAAGGAAGTAATAGATGATGAAGATGAACTTGAAAAGGAGGAGGTTGATTATTAATAAATAAATTAGTTAATAAAAAAGAGGGAATTAAAGAAGGGGAGGAGGAAAGGTTGTTTGGGGGGGGGGGGGATATATGGAAAAGGAAATGAAAAGACAAGGACATAATTAAATATTATTTTTGGAAGAATATTATTCCGGAAGCTCAGTAATTTTATTCAAACTTTTTAAAGAAGAAAGCAACAAAACAAAATATAAATATAAACATATGTTTTAGATTGAAAACATATTGAGGGAAGAAGAAATACTTGGGAAATTAATAAAAATATTTAATAGAAAGGATCCGGCAATTTTTATTGCTAATAAATTAATGGAGATGAACTTTAAAAGTAATTAAAAATAAAAGGAGTGAAGAAGAATTTAAATAAATAATTTTATGAAGAAAAATAAATATTTATTTATTTATTTAATAATTTTATTTATTTGCTTTTTTTATTAAATTTTGTTTGTATTTATTATTTATGTATTTAAAGAGGTTAAAAAATATTTATATATTGGCTGGTTGGTTGGCGCGCATTGTGCGGTTTTGCAGCTGTGAGTAAAATTTAAAAAATTGAGTTGAGTGATCTTTACAAAGAAAATAAATGAGGGAAGGGCTTTTAAAAGAAAATAAAAATACGTTGAACACAAAAAAAGGTTTTCATTGCTGGCACTGCAAAAGAACGGGTGTTGATGGTCCTAATTTCTCTTTTTTCCCTCAATTATTTAATTCCTTCTTCTTCTGTCATTCAGCCGCGCGAAAACAAAAAAAGGCCAGCAGCATTACTTAAAGAGATCACTACCAACAACAAAAATATAAATACGAAGGACAACAATGAAATGAACAAAAGAAAAAGAGAAGAAGAAATCCCCCCCCCCCTCTCGCTTTCCTCCACAAAAAAAGTCCACAAGAGAGAGGAGGCCAATAACTAATAATGAATATGTGAGTGGATGAAAAACTCGAACAAAGTGAGGGAGAAGGAGGTTTTGTTAGAAGAAAAGGACATAGAAATGAAGAGTTATGGCGGTGTAATTAGAGCGACGGAAGAGAAAATCGGAAATGATTTTTGCGATGTTCTCTTGAAGGAAAAATATAAAAGAATTTATTTAAATATATTTTTGTAAAAATATTTTTTTTTAATTTAATAATATTTTTTACATGAGAAAAAGAAAAAAATGGCAATTAAATTGATCGAAAAAAAAAATAAATTTAAAAAGGGCTAATCAAACTCGTGTTTAAAATCGGTTATTTGGTGTTGATCTCCACTTTCAATCCCATTTTCGGATCGGTTCGGACACCTAAGTATGTGCTACCCTAATCAAAACTTTAAAATAATTAAAAAAAGTTTTTAATAATTGTGGAGGCATAATTATTTAAAATAAATTTTATTTTTATTATTAAAAATTAAAATATATTTTTAATATTGCAGCTGGTTGATTTTTTGATCACAGCCGGCAAAGCCCTCAACAATTTTTTAATATTCCTTTGAATAATAATAGAGAAATATTTTTATTTCATCTAAATTCGATGGCCAAAATTGGCTTTCACAGGACAGTCTTTTCCTATTTTTTGATTATTTTTCTTTGTGCTTTACTATGATGGGAAAATGCAAAATAAAATTTTGGATATTTTAATAAATTTTTAAAAAAAAAGTTAATTTTCTGGAAAATTATATGGGTAACTATTTAACTAAATTCTAAATTAACAAAATAAATTAAAAAGAAAATAATTTTCTTCTTTAATTAAATATTTATAAAAAAATTATTTAATATTCTCTTTACAAAAGTCAAGAAAATGCCAAAAAAAGAGAAAGGAGAATCAGCATTTCCGTTTACTTACATACATTGAATAAACGAATCAACTTTTATGAAAAAAGTATTGAGCAAAAAATAGAGGAAAGGGAGAATATTATTTATGCTAAAAATAAATTAAAATAAAGAAAAATATTTTTAAAATTTCAAAATTAACAAACAATTTAATGGATTTAACATTTGATAACAGAAATAGATAATTTTGAAAAAAAGAAATAAGTGAGAAAAAAGCCTTATATTAAAATATTATGAAAAGGTGAATAAATCCATTCATTCCTTTTAACAATTACAATTTCCATTTCACGGCCATATCCATTAGCGGTAAATAACCAAAGAATAGAACAGTTGAAAGACAAAAATAAATATATTAATTTTAATGATGTTCAATGTGGATGGAATGATGGTGATCTTCTTTCACGCTTTTTTAAACAGCTAGGGGTATTTTATTTATTTATTCATGCAAATCTCCGGGTCAATCAAATTAAAAAATAATTGCTTTACTTAATTAACACAATTATTAATCCGTATTATTAAATTTTAAGTGAAAAGAAAGGAACAATTGGAGTCAAAAAGAAAAAGTTATATCCTCTATATGATATTTAACATTTTTCATTTCCTTATTAGCACAAAGATTTTTTAATTATTTATTTATTCACAAATTTTATAAGTACAAATCACCACAAAAGGGAAAATGAGTATATATATTTTTGGCCACAAATATCAGCAAGGTGAATGGAAATACCTATAATATATACAATACAAATATATACATTAATTTTGGCCATATATTATGTATAGAGGAGATGAGTGAATGAGATTACAATACAAAATTATGTACATCAAGAATAATGATTATGGGAAGGAATATGTACATAACAAATCACAAGTTGGGTCCTAAGACACTTTGTTATTATTTTCTTCTTCTTTACATCTTCAGGCTTTTGCCCTAACCGGACGTCCGCGACCTTTGCGCACACTGCGTTGACTGACAGAAGATCGACGTTGAGACTTTTGACTTGAGTGAAGCTCTTTGCCAGAACGAAGTAGTATGCCACCACGAACTGGAGGAGTAGAAGATCCACGCGAGGATGCTGCCAGTACAAACGATGTAGACTTGACAACGAATGTTGCCTTCTTTGGTGGGCGTCCGCGTCGTTTTGGAGCATCCTTGGTCTGATTTTTGCTAGAAGAGCCTTCACGATCAGAGAGATTCTTTGCTTCCGATGATTTCGCAGAACTTTGCGGTGCAGAAACGGCTCTCGATGATCGACGACTTCCTCCTCTGAAAAAGGACATTTTACATTTAATTAAAATTATAAAAGAATAGCTCCTTACCGAGGAGTAGAACTTCGGCCACGAACGCTCATCTTTGCCTGGTCCTTAGCTTGGATTTCTTGTCCACATTGAGAACAAATTGCTGGATGAGATCTGAAAATGAAACATTTGAAAGGAAAGAATAAAATTTGTTTTTACCTCAAGCTTGCTTCTGAATCACTTGTCTGACTACGTTCACTCACTGGAGTAGCACGTCCCTTCGATGGAGTAGCACGTCCTTTTGATGGAGTAGCACGTCCTTTCGATGGAGCAGCACGTCCTTTTGCAGAAGAAGCACGTTTTTTAGATGAAGCTGAGCGCCCTCTCGCCGAACGACTTTTTGGTGGACGTCCCCGTCCTCTCGCTGTAGTAGTAGCCGCAGTACGTCCTTTTGCTGTAGCAGTACGTCCTCTAGCAGAAGCCGGGCGCCCTTTTGCTGGAGTCGTAGCAGCAGCAACCTTGCGAGGAGCCATGATGCCAGACGATTTGAGTTGACGATTTGTTGTGAAGATTGACGAGTCTGATGATGTTTGAAGAGATTATGGTAATTAACAGAGACTTGATCTTTTTATACTAATGAGTGAGTGAAATTGAAATTAGTCTTGTTACTTTTCGTCTCATTCTCACCTATTTGACTTTTTCTTCTTTCCTCATATTTTCCTTCTCCCGGTTGGGGTCACTAGAGTGCCGCCACTAGAGTGCTGCCACTAGAGAGCGGGCACTAGAGAGCCGAGCCATTAGAGAGCGAGCCACTAGAGAGCGAGCCACTAGAGTGCCAATAGTTTAAAACCCTAAAATGTTTTTAAGAAAAAACAATGGAAATTGTTGTCCCAACTAAATAGAATGGTTGTTCCATCCACGTGGAAGGTTGTTCCAATGTCTGAGAAGGTTGTTCCAATGACGGGGCGGTTGTTTTAATGACGGGGGAGGTTGTTCCAATGACGGGGGAGGTTGCTCAAATAGCGGGGAAGGTTGTTCAAATATCGAGGAAGGTTGTTCCAATGACAGATGATGTTGTTCTGCTAACGGGGCAAGTTGTTCCGACAACGAGTTAAGTTGTTCCAATGATGGGAAGGTTGTTTAGATGATGGGAAAGGTTGTTCAACGACAGAGCATGTTGTTCCAACAGCTGAGAAATGTTGTTATAATAGAGGAGAAGTTGTTCCAACAAAGAGGAACGTTGTTCCAACAACGGGGGAAGCTGTCTGCACTTCCTAAGCTACTGGCACTCTAGTGGCCCGCTCTCTAGTGGCTCGCTCTCTAGTGGCTCAGCTCTTTAGTGCCCGCTCTCTAGTGGCAGCACTCTAGTGGCACGGCGCTTCCACCCTGTTGACGCACGGTAGGGGACGACTCAGTCCCGCCGATTCAGTCCCGCCGATTCAGTCCTGCCGATTCAGTCCCGCCGATTCAGTCCCGTGCCAATTCAGTCCCGGCCGATTCAGTCCCGCCGATTCAGTCCCCGCCTATATGGGTACGTTTCAGTCCCCGTGTAAAAAAAATAAATAAAACAACTTTAAAAATAAAAATTGATAAAAAAATAATCATTTTATCACGCAAAGAACATCTTAAAAGCTAGATGAGTCTTAATTATAGGCTTTTCTTGGGGTTTTTCTGGCTTAGGGTGAAGTTTTGGACTCGGTTTTTTTCTTTAGAGAATGGAATTTTTTGAAAAATAAGTCAAATAACTCATTCTCCAACAACCGTCTAAATCTTTGGATATCCCCGATACCCACCCACGAGCAGAAACAAATAAAATTTAAAAACCGACTTAGAAAATTTATCAAAAAATAACTAAAAAGTAATAGTCTCGTTTCACTCATTAGATTTGTGGCCCTAAAGAGGGCCGTTTGGGTTAAGGTTCTTGTTGACGATATCCCGCACCGACTGTCCCTTCCGATGTGCTTGGCAAGCTTGACATGCAAAGCACCAGCGGCACTCTGCTCGACACAAAAACAAGTCCAGGACTGGATTGTCTTAAAGTTAAAAATTTTTAAAAATTTCAAAAAGCCAAAAAACTAAAAAATAAACCATGTGTCTGTAGTAGAAACTTCGCCATTCATTGTAGAATTCTCGCCGTCTTGAGATATTAAGAAAAATTGAAGAAATTTAAAAATTTTAAAAAATTAAAAAATTCTAAATTTTCCATAAAAATGATTTTTTTCGTTAATAATTGTTGTTGGTTATTGTTAATTGTTGTGGTAAACCACCTAAAGAACCTAGAAAATGTTTAAAACAGAAAAATAAACAATAACAATCATTGGTACAACAATAAAAATCATTGGGGACTGAAATGTCCCCATATAGGGGGACTGAATCGGCGGGACTGAATCGGCCGGGACTGAATTGGCACGGGACTGAATCGGCAGGACTGAATCGGCGGGACTGAATCGGCGGGACTGAGTTGTCCTGTTCCGTTGACGCACGCGTGAAAACTAGCTAACTCTTTTCCTTAAACACAACGCCAAAATTTAAATAAAATGTCTGTTTACTCTCTTTATTTTATTGCATCTCTCGTGCGTCTGACTTTATTGTAAACAAGAGAAAGGGTCAGAAGGAGACAAGTTATAAAATGGTCAGAGGGAAGGAAAATGGTCAATTCTCTCATTTGCGAGGGGAATAAGTTAAATTTTATAACTTTTTATCCTCGCATCCGATTTTTTTCAAATTTTGTATTTCTGTGGTCCTGATTGAGTTAAACAATCCTACAATTTTTGAGAAGCCAATATACATTTTTAACGAAGTTATGAATTTTTGAAAATTGATGAAAATCGTCCTATAATCAGTGATGTCAAAGTTCCAGTTCCAGTTCCGGAACTAATTAGTTCTAGTTCCAGTTCCGGAACTAGAACTACGGAACTAACGATTATCTGGAACTAGTTTGGAACTAGAACTACGGAACTAGTAAATGTCTGGAACTAGCTTGGAACTGGAACTACGGAACTAGTAAATGTCTGGAACTAGCTTTGGAACTAGTTCTGGAACTAGTTCTTGGGGGTATATTTTTGGCAAAATTTCCTCGAAAATTACCTGCAGCGCGCTGAGTATGGAAAAAATCTGGCCGCTTGAGCTCAAAAATTCTCGAAATTTTCGCCTGCGGCGCTAAAAAAGGTAAAAATCTGGTGAATTGGCCTTCCAAAATTCTCAAAATTTTCGCCAGCGGCGCTAAAAAAGGAAGAAATCTGGTGACTTGGACTTTAAAAATTCTTCAAATTTTCGCCTGCGGCGCCAAAAAAAGAAGAAATCTGGTGGCTTGGTCTTCGCAAATTCACAAATTTTTCGCCTGCGGCGCTGAAATTGGAAGACTTCTGGCTTCTTGCCCTTCCGAAATTCTCAAAATTTTTGTCTTCGGCGCAGAAAATTGAAGAAATTTGGCTTCTGGTCTTCAAAAATTCTTCAAATTTTTGCCTGCGTCGCTGAAAATGGAATAATTATGGGGATATCTAAAGATTTTGAGAGATACCTCCAAATCCTACGTAATCCCACGGTAGCATTATCTTTTTACATATTTCCTAATCTCGGTATCTTTCCAGACTGCATGGTCCACTTCATGGATAAGGAGGATAATAAGAGGGAACAAAGATTTGGGTGGATAAGGAGGGATTTGAAAAAAGATAAAGATTGATATCAAGGCTCAAGAGTTGTAAGTTGTATATTAGGTTACTTTTTTTAGCTTTTTGCAGTTACTTTCTTGTCACCCTGTATACTACAGCCATATTTTCATATTCAAAAAAAAATTTAAAAATTTGGAACTAGAACTAGCTTGGAACTAGTTCCAGAACTGGAACTGGAACTAAGGAATTTCAAAAATGGAGTTCCGGAACTGGAACTGGAACTACGAAAATTAAAAACCTAGTTCTGGAACTGGAACTAGTTCCAGAGAAATTTTGGAACTTTGACATCACTGCCTATAATGGGCCATAACTTTCTCCAAAGTTGTCCTTTTTCGCTAAATTTTGTTTTGTTCGATTCAGCGATGAAAAACGAACAAAACCTATATAGATTTTTCACAAGTTATGTTGGCATACTCCTTAAGTTGACATACCGCTCACCTACTACCTATAACTAATGTACCCAGGGAACAGAATTTTTTCAAAATTTGCCTAATTATAGTATTGCAATTGATATACAATCTTGAAAAATTTTAATGGAAAATTTTCATTTTGGATTAAGTTATGAATTTTTAAAAACACAATTTTTCCGATTTTTGGTGTCATTCGACTCAACTTGATGAGCTCTTTCGAATGACATATAACACACATACTCGGGAGTTTTCCTATTCGGAAGTATACTTTGTCGACATTCGGGAGTCTTGTTCGGTAATTCTTTTTCTGAATTAGATTCCAATCCTCGATACTGTCGAGCTTTAATTAATTTAGAAATATATTTATTCTTTCTATCTTGTTGTTTTGCCCATTTAACATCAAAAGCTTTTCTTTTTTTAAAGGTTACGGCTCTGGTTTTCATCTAAAATATAAGAAAAATTAAGTCTGGTACAACTCCTTGAAAAGTGTTTCAAAATCCACGAAATTTTTTTCAGAGAATCTTAAAACAATTATCTATAAAATGTATAGACAGATTTTAAAACGTATAAGCGGTTTTCGAGATATGGGATTTTAAAGTTTTATTAAAATTTGTTTTCGCAGTCGCAAAAAAAGAGTGCATAAAAGAAAGAGAGACAGTTAGAGAACGAAAGAAAAAAGAAATAGAAAGCTAAGTAGTTTTCACGCGTGCGTCAACAGGGTGGAAGCGCCGTGTAGTGGCAGCTCTCTAGTGGCCCGTTCCGTCCTTCTCCAAGTTATTACAAAAGGTCAATGTCACATAATGGTAAGGATTAATTTATTAGTCTTTGTTATTTTATATTTAAATATGTTTTTGGGTTTGTGGTTTTCTTACATTTAAAATAATGTTTATTAAAATTAGCTAAGTGAAATTTTTCTATCCAATTAATTCAACAATTATTTTATTTTTAGATTAAATTCTTCAATTTTTTAAAAATTATTTTTCAAAATATTAATTTGTTTTTAAATCAATTTTAAATTAAAATAATGATTAAAAAACTTGGAATTTGTGTAAAAACAGACGAACATGAAGGGCTTGTTTATTCAATTATTTTAAATTCAGAAATTGGTGAAAATGTTATTTGTGGGCAAAAAGTGAGAATTAAATTAAATAAATAAATAAAAATATTTTTTAAAAGATTTCTCCAGGAAAATGGGTTCTTTTTACCCCAACAGATGAAAATATTTTTATTGAATGTCAATATAAACGTTTAGCTGATTCAGAAAATTTTCAAATTACACAGGCTAGACGTCCAGTTTCTCCAATTGAACAAACAATTCAAGTAAATGAAAAATAAATTTAAAAAACTTTTTAAAAGGTAAAAGCAGTAATTGACTGTTTTGAATATATTTATAACGATCAATTTTATATTTGCAAAGATGAACTTCTTGGACAAGTACTTGTTGGCAAAAATGATCCTTTTATAAATGAATCTTTTGAATATGGAGATAAAGTTGAGGTTGAAAAAGAAATTTTTGAGAAAAAAAAATTTAAATAAAATTCTTTTTAGATGGCTGTTGCTTATTTGGAGGTATTTAAAAATAAATAATTTTATTTAAAATTATTTAAATAGAATTATTTAACAAATATTCATTGGGTAGCTATTGCTGTTAATTCAAAAACAGATGAAGGAAATACTAATTATAGAATTGTAAATAAATATATAAAAATTATTTTTAAATTTCTTTTTTTTAAAGATTAAAGGATTGCCTGGACTTCTCAGAGATTTTTCTAATATTTGTTATGAAAAGTAGAACAGAAAAAGGAGGAGGCAAGTATTTAGGAAGGAGGCATTTAATTTCTATTTTTAATCATTTTAGATGACTAAAAATGAAAAAAGAATTTAAAAATTGTTGGGAAGGCAAAAAAAGAATTATAGTAAATTTAAAAATAAATATTTTCTGTATTTTTCATTTTTTTGAAGAAATAAATTCCTCTCTTTTTTTTTTTAAATATTTTCCAATGCCTTTAGCAAGCAATAAATTGTTAGGTTAAATGATTGGCGAAAAGATTGTTTTGTCTCATTGCCTTTTTGATGAATAATTTCTTGGATTATTTTCTCATTCATTAAATCATTTAATACAAAACTCGATTTAAGCCAATAAAATATTTTGAATAAATAAAAATAATTTTTAATTATTATTTTTTAAAGAATTCTCTAATTAATTAAATATTCTTTTATTAAATAGTATATTGTAAAATTATATACTACACATATTTTCTTTCCATTTTCGGCCAAGGCCACACTTTTATTTGGGCGTTCATTAAAAAGTCTTTTCGAGAGTTTCAGCGGCTTTTCTCTTTTTTATTTTTGTAACGATCAGTGAACAGAAAAGAAACTTACCTACTAAATATTAAATGCTTCCGCTCTTTTTCTTCCTTTCCGTTTAATATTTAAAGTGTGAAAAATCAAAAGAAAAAAATTAATTAATTAATTAGGCAAGTAAAAAGAACATTTTTGTGTGCACAAGGCGGAAATTTTTAGAAAGAAAAAGTTTTAAAGAAAACTAATTCTTTTATTGACCACCCACCACCCCCACAACTACCCGGACATCTCATTTTCAACATTTTATGAAAATGAAAACTAGACCACAAAAATAAAGGCGAGAAAGGGACGCATAACAATATTTGCGCAACAAACAAATAAAAAGAAAATAAACGAAAATAGAACTTTAAAAATATATGTACATTCATTAAATATTTTTATTTACTTATAAAAATGGATTTTTTATTTAGATTTCTTTGAAACAAAATTATTTAAGTTTTCTGATAAATGCCAGTTTTGAAAACCTTGAATACTCTAAGTAATGCCTTTAGCTTCAATTTTTTAATAAGTCAATTTTTATTGGATATAGACTTCTAATAGAGCCAGGCTATAAATAGGGCGTTTATAGTGAATCTAAAAAAAATAAATAACAAATTTTAATAAAAAATAGAAAGATAATAAAACAAATTTTTAAATAAAATATATCATTATTTAAATGAATAACCCTCCTCAATCTGCCCATTTTTATATAGTCCTCCATTCTTTTTGACCAATAAATAAAAAAATTCAAAATTTTATGATGACGTTTCATTAATCCCTTAATACTTCTAAAGTAGCTTTTCAGCTTTACTCCACAATTCCCTACCCCGTAAATCGCCTCAAATTCTTATTTTATTCAAAAATCCTTTTCAAAATCTTCCATCGAGGCTGATCATTCCTTCCCCCTCTTTTCTTTCTTCTAACACAAATAACACACTTCCTTTTATTTATTTTCTTCTTTTCATCCATTTCGCGCTTTCTGCCATTGCTTTAAATTTTGAGAAGGCAACAAATATATTTAAAGCTTTTCCTCTTACATATTCCTCCCCCAATTCCCCCAAAAATCTCTCACTAATCGGCTTTTCCGCACCCAATTCCCTCATTCTCTTTTCTCTCTCTCCAACTAATTTTGTATTTCCAAAATTTCTTTTTTTATATTCAAAAATCAGCCCTCCCTCCCTCCCTCACTCAGTTCCAGCTTTTTTATTCACAACCATTCAGAGCACCCACTTATTTTTTTTATAAAAATTATTTTTTTTCACTTCAGAATTAAATCAAAAACAAATAAAATAATAATAAATTTATCTCCTTGAAAAAAATATTATTTTTATTAATAAAAAAATGTTTTTATATTTCAAGAGGCCATTCACGCACTATTTGGCCCGATTAAATAGAAAAACGTTTTTAATTTGCCTGAATGGCTTTTAATGCTTTTGCTGCCCTGTTGTTCTACTTTTTTTTTGTTTTCGCTAAACAAAACAATTATTTTTTTGTTTTTTTTGCAGAAAAAATATAACCAAAAAGTTTACTAGCCAATCACTTTTGATTCCCATCCTTATATTTTTTAATTTTTTTTAATTGGAAGAATCTTTACCTGACAAAAAACTTTAATTTCTAAACAAAAATAGGACTAAATTGGATGACATTGTTTGGTTTTTAATGTTATTTTTTTTATTTTCTAGTTATTTTTTAATCGTCTCTGCGTAATTTTATGCGTGTATAGGTTACACAATTGTTTATATTTTTACATATTTTTAACTACATATATTTGTATATTTGTATATAATTTTACATAGAATAAATTATTCTACCATAAATATATTCCCCTGATAAATTTAAATTAATTTACAAAATTTAAATTTTAATTAATATTCCAAATAATTATTTATACGTACATAGCTCTCAAATATAATGACCCCAATTCTTTTATTTATTCCACGTTCCTGGGATAAAAGGAAGATATTTAATATGTAGTAATTTTGTAAAAGAAATTGATTTACGATTTTTATTTAATTTTATTGTAAACAAATATTTAATCCTTTTCTCGTTCACATTTTTGAATTAATTTTTTAAAGAAGTCCTTTCTAGCTTTGAATAATTTTAAAAAACTTTAAAAGTTCCATCCTCAACTTTTTAAAAAATAATCCTAAAAAGTTATCGTCCAAACTTTCATTGATTAATAAAGATCCCATTAATATTTACAGAAAATTTATTTTTTTTTGTTTCCAAAATTTATTCATGAAGGTCACAATTTTTATTTATTTTTTCTTCATTTAATCGTTTTAAACATAACAATTTATATTTGAAAAACAAACAAATTGTTTTTGGATAAACTCAAAAAAGGCAATCACCTCAAATCGTTTATTCTCTTTCTCCAATTTAGCTTCCCTCAAAATGCGCAGAAAATAAATATATTCCTCTTACAAAAATCAACTTTTCTTCTTTTTTTTATTTTCTAATTTTCATGTCCTTCAATAGCCAAATTGCCATCTATTTATTTATTTGTTTGTCTTTCCCTCCCCGGAATAGCCGGCAGCCTGCCACCCGCTGAGATCATCTTCTACGCTCCCCCTAAGGCTATCCTTCCTTCCCTCCCTCCTTCTTTTCCTCTTTTTCCCCTCTTCATTTCCTTCCTCTTCCGTGTTTCCCTACAATCTTCAAATCCTCTTCATTGCCTAAATTTTTTCCTTCCAAAGTTTAAAATTGGGTGAATGTCCTTGAAGTGTCCACCCTCTCATCTACGTTCTTCTTCTCCCTTTTTCCTCAAAATCCAGCCATCCCTCATTCTTCTACCAGATTTAATTGTGTATTTTTTATTGTTTAAGATTTATATTTCCAAAATTTCCTTATTCTTTTAATTTCTGGAGCCCAAATAGAATTACTACTACAAAAGATTTTGCCAAGTATTTATTTATCCACTTAAATATTTTCCAATTCTTTTATGTCCACACAATTCTCTCTATTTTATAAACATCTGCTTGCCCCTCTTATATCCAAAAAAAATAAACATAAAAAGAATTATTTATTTTTAATTTGACCAAGTGGTTGTTATATACCCATTTTAAGAAATGAAGACTAAAGGAAGGAAGAAGAAAAATAAAAATTTTGGATGAGGAAGGAGAGGGAAAAGTAAATAAAATAAAGCATATATTTTCTTCTTTCAAATTTCTTTCATTCTCTCTCTTGTCTTTTGGCATTATTTCCCTCAATTAATTTAGTTTATTGCGCATCTGAGTAAAGAATAAATATTTTTAAGGAAATAATAGACAAAGATTTATTTATGGAATTAAAAATAAATAAGAAGAAGCTTTTAAATATGTATTTTTATTTAATTTGTTAGTTTATTTCTCCATTTTTAAAGAGACAAAAAGTAGAAAAAAGGCTATTTTTAATAAATTAAAGTACTTTTTTATATTCTGCCAATTCAAACCCTAATTATATATCACAAGTATTTATTCTTTTTTATTCTCCAAATAATTTCTTAAATCTTTTCCTTATTTTAACGTCTTTCAAGGATTTTGGCACATAAACGGCGTGAAATCTTTAATTCACTTTATTAAAGCCTGTTTCCTCCCTAAAAGTCCATCACCAGAAAATCCCTTTCATTCCATTTTTTATTGCTTGTCCACGTTTTTTGCGATTTCCCGCTATTATTAAAATCCCTAAAAAAAACTCCTCTCTTTTCTCACTACAACTACTCTAATATTTCCAATATTTTTTTACCTTTTTATTTTAATATCTTCATTTATTTCTATTTTTTATTTTTTTAAATTAAATTAAATATTTAGAAGAACTTTATATGATTTATTTCCAGATGTTTGCAAAAATAATTTTTTACAAAAAATTGTTTATAAAAGTGTGTTATGATTACAAGATTAATAGTTTTATATTCGAGAATAATAAAAAAAAATATTTTTATTTTTATTTAAAATTTGTCTCTCCCCTTCTCTCCCTTTCTTTTTTGCAGATTATTTCAGAAAATGTGTAAATCCATAAAAAAATATTTTTTTATTTAAATTTATTGAGTATTATTTAATTTTCAAAAAAATTTAACTAAATTCTTTTTAAAAAATACAAAAATTATTATAATTTTTTTCTTTTAATTTTCGAATGTTTCATTTAATTAAAAAAGAGTAATAATTTAAAAACTTTTTTTTAAATGATGACGAAAATTAACTTGTTTGGAATTTTTTCTTTAATTTTGTAGTTATTTTTTAATTTTCTTCTTTCTCCAAATTTATTTTTGATTAATTTTTATTTAAAATTCTCTCAACATTTTTATTAAATAAAATTTAATTTTTAATTATTTATTTAGAATTTAAAAGAAATGTTAGAAGCCTTTATAGATAAGGCATGGAGTTGTTTTTTTGAAAAAGAAAATGTTGTTGTTGGCAATAAAGAATTTATTGAATCTGTATGTTTTTAAGTATATTTAAATATGTAAGAATG